TGCCACCTACACCTCGTACTCCGCTCCCGCTGTTGCCTACCACCACTAAGGAATATAGTGAACGAGATCGAAATCGACGTTGTATATAGAATTGTTGGCTTTATTATTACTGTACATTTATTTATTGACAGCACCAATAAAAAAATGCATACGAGTATGTAGACATATCATGAAAAGCAAGAGTGTGTTGAGAAGCTTACTTAGAGGTATTTCTTTAAAGGACTCTCAGAGGTCGTTCACATTATCCTGTTGGGCTTGAGTATTATTTATTTGCTTGTTTTCATAACTTGTTTTTGTTTTCATTTGTTTTTATTGTGTGTGAAAAAGTTCACAGACATCTAAGGCCACGAAAAAGGATTGCTGCAGTCGTAGGGCGATGCAGTTCCTGTGGTGCTTTTTGGTGGTGCAGTCTGGACTTTTGTTCCGCGATCCTTTAAGGATGCGGCGAGGGCAACGAACTGCGTTGGCCTGCTTGATGATTCCGCTGGCCATGCAGATCCTGATCCTGATCCCGATCCCGATCCCCCTGTCTGTCTGAAGAGACTGCGCAAATTTCTGAGCTTTGTACCGTCGGTCATTTCCATTTGAATGCAAAGAGAATCGCCTTTGTTGTTGGTGTTTGTAATATAAAACGGAAATTATGGGGTCACGACTCTACTTGCCAAGTGATAAATGTTCCAGCATCTTGTCGGGGGAGCTGCAAATTAAACTGCAGTTTAATTCTAGTTGCAGGCTCTATTTTCCCACAACTTGCGTAGGGATTTATGTGCGACTAGAGGACGGCACACCTGTTATTTTTCTCCCTAGAACAGTTCTGGATTCTGCAAGGGGCGCCCCAAGGTCAGGCCAAGTTCCAGCTAGCCAACTGCTTCCTTCGACTTCGACTTCTCCCTTGTTTTTGGTGCCGAGGTTCGACTAATCAAGTGGAAGATTTCTGATTTTGGGTGCTGCTCCTCGTCGATACGCAGCCGAAAACCCTTCTCAACTTCATCATCGTCATTATCATCCAGCGAGCAGCCAACAACAATGCGAACTGACAATGCAACCGGACAAAACAAGACAAGAACAGAAAAAGCACAAGCCCAGGAAAGACAAAGGGAGCAGGGGCAAAAACAACAAAAAAGCCAGTAACAAACCCGATCAAGTGAGCTAAAGGATCGTCGAACCTCAGCAGGGGCAAACAGGCTTTCGATTTTTTCCCTGCCCGTTCCAAGTCCCGGCTCTCGTATAAATAGGACCCAATATCTCCCGGTTGCCTCATTCAGTGTTTTGTGTTGAGTCCGAGAGGTTCAGGATCAGGAGCAGCTTGCGATCGCTCCTTGGGGTCAGTCAGGCCAATAAAAGCATCAAAAAACTCACCATTTGGATACCGTTCTTCAGGATACAGCCGGCGACCAGTCCACCAAGAGGCAGACATGTAGAGGTAATTTCATCAGAAAGAAAAATAACCACACAATAGAAGGATAACTATTGTCTGGGCTCATTTTATTAGTTATTAGAATTAGAATTATTATTATTATTATTATTATTATTATATTATTATTATTATTATATTATTATTATTATTATTATTATTATTATTATTATTATTAATTATTAGAATTTATTATTAACTTAAGTATCTGTGCAGAATTATAAGCAAATTATAAGTTTGTTTTGAGTGTGCTTAATAACCCATAAACCTTTACTACTTTTGAAATAGTTAAAGAAGAAAGTTCTTGAAACTATTTATATAAGTTTAAGCACTGAGGATTCAATTATTTCATTTACCTTTTTACTCACTAAATTTATGCTCTGTATGGAATTAAATTTTTATAAATATTTTATTATATTTTCCAGATTCATCTCTTCTGTGTCAGCCTTGTAGCTGCTTACTCAAAATATTGAAAATGAAAACATCCATGATTTTGGTCCAAGCTCAGTCATTGCATCCACCCAAACCACCCAAACATGATTTAAAGTATCTAAAATTAATACCAGCATCAAGCTGTTGATTATGACACCCCGGACATATTGAAGAACCCATTGATAGGGCCTAATCAGGGCTCGCATCTGGCCAGAACTACTATTGGCACTCATCACGAAACATTGAATCGCTGGAAGGCCGCACAACATCGCACATCAGCCATCCACCACACATCCATCCATCACCCACCAAACGTCGTTTCGGCCCTTTGGACAAAATTTACATTTGAGTTTAAGTTTAGGTGTAAACAATAAACAAAAACAACAATAGGCTACCAAAAAAAAGCGAAAAATCCAAAACAAGTGCTTGCTTATTTATTTTTCTTGGGTTCTTATCGGACAGTTGTCATCGAGCTATCGAGTTATAATTATTTGGATTATTGGGGACAACTATGATTACAAGTTTATTGACCCCAAGGATAAGAGGTCTTGGAGAATCAAATATTTCCTGTTTACTTAAAAAAAACTGAGTCGATCTTAAGGATTTGACTAATATTTTGATTATTCAATTTAACCACCTTTATTACAATGATAAACTCGTCTCATATATTAGAAAATCTTTCATAGAATATATTTAGTTTAAATCAAATTTGTAGGAAATGGAAATTTAGAGAATAACTTATTTTAGACACACCCCAAAATGGTAATGTATTCGTCACCCCCCTTGACTTTTACTTTGCTTCGGGCATCTTATAAATAGTTGAACAAATGAACAAAAATATTTCGTTATGATTACTTACAAGAAAGGCCGCAGTGCGAACAATAATTTATGTGTATCAAGGTCAGGCCCGCCAGCAAAGCCTATAACTATGGCTCTGACTGTGACTGCGACTGTGATTGGGACTATGACGGGGGCACCGTATGTGATTCGAGTGCCACCAGGCACCGTCAGCAGATTTTTAGGGCTTACGACTTGGGCTCACACACAGGTGCTGCTGCTGCCTGCTGATGGCGCACTGGCTACTGCCAAAATAAGCCATAAAGAAAATGAACTGGTTTGGTCGGCAAGTTTAATTGGCATTATTTGAGCTCGAGCTCACCGGCTGGACAGCGTTTACTTCGTATTGTAATTCCCATAAACTATTTTCGGCTTAACCGTTTGTAAATTGCGCTCGCCAATGATTAAGCCAGGCAAGTGTCGGTGCTCGAGTGCTCGGTTGAGTGTTTCCTTCAGAAATTAAGCAAACTAAATTGTAATTAACAGACGTTTTTCAACAGTTGTCCAATAGAGACAATGTCTCCGCTGACGGCCAGCAGCTGAAGTGATTATTTTTATTATTATTATTTTCAATACAAATTCGTTTTCGTTTCGTTTCGTTGGAATGTTTTAATTCCGCTCAACATTGACCTCACACCGGGGCATCGAAGAGGGCCCCTGGTCAGGGGTGTCCGCTGCTAATTAAATTAATCCAACCTGACGGCAACTGCCCTTTCATTCGGTCTAGCCTATCCTTTGGGGAATTTGGGAGTGCAAAGAGGCTGCTGCTGCAGACATTTTCCGACATTATTTAGGTTTTAGCCGGCACTCGACATCGACACCAACACACACAACATCCTGGACACCCGAACAGCTCAACCAATTTCTAGCAAACACTCGGCCCGGTGATCAATCTTAAATTTTCACCGCTTCTGTCAGAAATGTGCGTACTCGACGACATGGGACGACATCGGCATCATGTGGCTCAGTTGTCCTGGCCAGCACCTCGCACCCAAATACCTTAAAACGTTGACAGGCAAAACCCAAAATGCTGGTTGACGAATGAGGCCCGGAGCCCGTAGAGTTTCCTCTGGGGAAAGCTGCGAAAATTCGGTCTGCCTGCATTCACAAAAAAAAAAAAAAAAAAACTCGTCAAATGAAGCATGAATGTCGGCACTTTCCCTAATCAAATAAGGGGAATTTATATAAAATATTATAAAAATTCATTCAGATTTTAGAATTTAAAAGGTTCTATGTTTGTTTGACAAGAACTAAGTCATACAAGGTAATCATATTCCATTTCAAGATTTATGGTATTGAATATTACAAATGCTAGAGTAATGCTTGTAGTCCTGTTTAGATATATTGTTTCCTGCAATATAGATGACAAAAAATAAGAATTTCCAATACCTTTAACATTTAAATAATATTGTTTTCTCTTGTTTCAATTGTTTGTTTTATAACTACGTAATCTTTTATACTTAATATCTTAAAAAAAGCAACGGGATACCGCTTTAAGGTCCCTTTTTAAACGATTGCCATCCCAACCCGAATCCCATCCATCATCGATTGTCAATAAACCGATGTCTGGGGATTGCACATTTTGTTGCCGCCTAAATGGAAGATTAAGGAAGTTGGAACGTTGGACTCAATTGTTATTTCATACTCATATCTTAATTAGTTTTTATTCTTTCGCCTTACAAAGATATCTAAGCCGATATTTATTATCATATTTATAATATATATTTGTTTAATATTTATGCGAAAATGTAGAGCAACATACAAACAGGACAAACATTGAAATAATTGAGAGTTCTTAAGATTCTAAATCAAAGTTCTTTTGTAGAGAAATTGCACTTGAATCGGGAGGGATTCAAATTTTGATTTCAAGCTTTATTTTAGTTTTAATGACAGTGTATCCTTACTTTTTGATTTAAGCTACTTCAGATATTTACAAAACATAATTATTTATAATTATATATATTTACTGATTACGACTTGTGTGAAAGTTGTTAAATTTCTCTATCTATTTACAATTTGTGTTTGTCTTTTATTTCTGAATGGAATTTTCGAGAGAGAACTTCACTTCGACTTGGAGCCAAAACATTTAAGATTTATTTAGCCTAGTTAAGGTGCTAGCCGCGGAATAGAACTCTTGCTTGGGGTTAAGTCTCTAGCTTAATATTTACAGATATGTGCTACGGACAAAGGGCTTACGAGGCTACAACACCGAAGAGAATTACAAAACTCACGCACACGGGGAGAATTAGACTAAGGAAATATGTACACAATTATCTGGCTAATAGACATCGGCTTCGCCTCCGGCTTCCTACATAAACTAACTGAGTTGGTAGTACTCCGGAGCAAAGTCGTTGGCCAGGTTGCTCAGGAAGTTGAAGTCCGACGAGCTGTTCGAGTTCTCCAGTCCACCGATCGCAGCTCCTGCAGCGTTGGCTCCATTATTGCTAAAGCCCTGACCCTGGCCACCAGGCCCTACTCCGTTCAGAGCGAATCCGTGGATGTGCGATGGCGGCGGCGGAGGTGGTCCCACCCCAACTCCAACCCCAACTCCAACTCCAACTCCAACTCCTACTCCCACCGAACCCGGAACTCCCACAGCTGCTTGGGCTGCTGCCGCTGGATTGTGGTGGGCATGGATGTGGGCGTGCGCCTGCGCCTGGACCTGCACGTGGTGGTGCGGATGGTGGCCGTGCGAGTGGGTGGCCGGACCCGGGGGTTGTTGACCCGCCTCGTAGTAGCCAGACCCGCTTCCGCCGCCCCCGAAACTGTTGTAGCCCTCGCAATTTTCCATTTGCAGGCCCAGGGCACTATATGTCTCTCCGGCGCCCAGTTGATGCATATGCCTGTGGGGAGGAAAGGGTTTTGAAATTATTTCAATATTAAAAATATTTCAAATATTTCTAAAAGTTCTTTAACATTAGAAATTAAAACTGGTGTAAATCATTTGCGTTATTTCATTTATATTCTATTGCATGGATACTTGGGAATGGCCCATTTAATAATTTGAAACCATTTTTTCACCTTTGACTCTAAGCTAATACCATAACCCAAAGCTCTGGCTGAGTATGCAGTCAATATAAAATTCACAAACCAAGTTAAAATGAAAATATTGAACTGCTTTAAATGTTGGTGAACATAAACTGGTTAGCCCAGTAGCTTTGACAACAACCCTGCTTCGTTACTTACTGCTGGTGGTTAATCGCCGCCTGTTGGTGTTGCTGATGCTGTTGTTGTTGTTGGAACACCACCGCTTGGTGCTGGTGCGCCTGCGCCTGCTGTTGAAAACTCATATTGTCGTAATACGAGCCGTTGTTAAAGTTGCTCGGCCCGTTAACAGGGGGCGCTTCAAAGTCAGCCACATGGTGGTGTGCCTGTTGCTGGTGGTGTTGCTGCTGCTGGTGGTTCAAGTACGCACTGCCGCCGTTGGTGTCATTGTAGTTGTAGTAGAACTGCTGTTCGTGCTGTTGTTGTTGTTGTTGACTATTTTGGTGGAAACTGGTTGCGGTTGGTTTGGGACTCAGATACTCGCCGTGGAGCGCCTGCTGCTTGTGGGTATTGTGGTGTGGTGATGCGGCGAATTCAATATCGTATTTGCAGTAATAGTCCTGTGGCTGCTGCTGCTGTTGAGGGTGCAGTTGCTGCTGTTGTTGTTGCTGCTGCTGCTGCATCTGCTGCTGCTGATGTTTGGGACTAGGATAGTAACCGGGGAAATAACCACCGGCTGGGCCACCACCACCCCCATTTCCCCCGTTGCTATCAGTTAGCGGAGTGGGCGTGGCAATGGCATTGGCACCGCTCTGGAAACGTTTCTTGGCGCTCGCTTTGCTAATGGGTGCACTACCTCCTCCTCCCACAACAACGGCTGCATCCGAGTCTCGCCGAAAGCTGACCAGACTGCTGGGCGTGGAGTTCTCATAGCCAAAGGGAGAGGCCTTCGAAGAGGTGGACACCGCCTCCTTTTGATGACCTGTCAAAGTGTTCGAAATAGGAATTAAGGATCAAATCGGATATTTTAAGGATATATAATATCGATATCTAATATAATTAAATTGAGCATATGTATATTGTATTGTTTTCAACTCACCTGTCCATCGTCTTTCTTCTTCACCTTGATGGAGCTACTTCCTCAATGTCCTCGTCCAAGCTGACACTAGATGCCACACTGGAGTCGGCGCTGATCACATTCGAGGCGGATACGGTGGTGCTGCCCAGCAGGTTCGAGGAGATGCCCGTCTCCAGGGATGAGTTAGGCGTTACTACAAAGTACAATCCATAAGAATCGAGTTATATTTATATAGTATTCAGGACTTACGACTTCCAGCACTCGGATTATTATTGGTGGCGCTCGGCGTGTTATTGTTGTGTCCGCGGGAATTGGACGTGGAATCGGGGATATCATCGGAGGGCAGTTCGCAGCCTTGACACGATTTCTTCGAATTGGAGTCTGCAAATTCGCGGGAAGGTAGAAAAGATAAAAGCGAATCAGTAGGTATATGTATAGCCACGAATATTGATGATTTGTTTTCGTAACTGGAGGATTGAGATGCGGTCCAAGAAGAGTCCCAGTCGAGAACCCAAGGCGAAACTCTCACGCGAAAGGGGTTAGCACGTCGAGAGCCGCCCTGCCAAAAGTGGTTCCAACCCATCCACTGACAATGATTGATAAGCTACACCATCTCTTACTTCAGCGTAAAAGCCTCGAAACGAAGCCATGCTAAGCCGAAAAAGTAAAAGTGGAACAACTTGTTAGTAAACTCCAAGAGTGAGTTTAATTTTGGTACAGTTTTCTCAGGTTTTCAGTCCTTTTAGGTCGTATGATATAAGCAGTCTGGTTTTTGGAAGCTTCCTTGTTATATGGAGCAAGTTAGGGATAGTTCTTGGTAATTTCCCGACTTAGTTAAGTGACTCTTAATGTTAATTAAACAATGGTGTAAATATTTGCTTTACTTACTGCTATCGGACTGATCATCGTCACCTTTGAGGCTATCCTTGTTGTCCTCATCGTCGGTCTTCGAGAGCGTTTGCCTCTTGTGCTTCATGCGGCGGTTTTGGAACCAAACCTTTACCTGCAACCAAGATGGGATTAGTTCGACTTCCGTCAAGGTGTGCGCAATTAAAAGTGGGAAAATGGAGTAGGGGAAGCCAGCGAACAGGGGCACTTGCTGCACACCGCTGTCAGCCCGGGCACCCGGCAATTTGTCAGCGGAATAATGGCATTTTTCACCATCAGACCGTCAGACCGTCAGCCGTGTGCGAATGCAACGGAATAAATTGCATTTGCAGAACACTCACCTGTCGCTCGGTCAGGTCCAGGCTGGCAGCTATTTCGATTCTCCTTGGGCGGCATAAATATTTATTGAAATGGAATTCCTTCTCCAGCTCCAGCAGCTGGGTGTTGGTGTACGCGGTGCGTAGTCGTCGGGGCAGGCCGTTTTCTGGAACGAATTCAGCTGCAATTGAGAAATTGCATTTTGTTCGTTTGAGACTTTGCGGAGTGAATGTGAATTTTTCTATTTATTGTTCTTCTTCAAGGGGTTTTGCCCTCGAGCATGTCCTTGTGTGGGCGTGGCCCAGGGACACAATTCGACATATTGCATTCGCTGTGGCACTCGAAGATTCTTCAAGGATTCCACCTCTCAATCTCCGCCAGCAATCAATCCATCAGCTCGTCAGCGGGCATAACTAATTCAGCGAAATTCGCCCAACTATACAGGAAAACTTTCAGATACATCCGCGTTCAGTATGAACCAAAAAGTGCAGCTGATGTCGGGCAGCAAGTTCCGTATTTATTCGAATATATCTTCCTATCTCTGAAGTTCTGCGCAGCGTTTTCCTTCGCCGCTGAGACGCGACACTCACAGCTCGAGCGTTAAGTAATTAACAAAAATCTAATCAATCAATCAGTGGAGAGAGACGTGCCCACACCGCGGCTCTCAAGCATGTAACATAGTTCGGCTACCGAACAGAAGCCCCAGCCAGCAGCTTCATTGGGAAATTGCTTCTAGGGGCACTTGTGAAAAAATCTTAATTTGAATAACAAACAGAAAATTATTTCCATTTTTTAAGTCACAAATAAAAAGGGAAAACATGTTATTTTTTTACTAAAAGTATTCTCAAGTTTGGTTCTGTTCGTTGATATTTATGTTGCTATCTTTTCCAATTATGCAATATAATTTACTCTATCCGCTGGTTTTTAAATAATGCCATATTTGGTGTTCTAAATTACTGAGACTCAAACAAGTTCTAATGATTGAGATCAGAAAAAGTTGTTTATGCTCCAACGACCAGGACCATAAACTTTCTCAAAATAAATTTCCCCAAATAAAAATCGCATTGAGTAGTAAAGAAATGCGCATATCATTTTAGGAAACTGAACATTTCGCTACCTTTCTGCCACCTTATTTGCATTGATGCGATTGCAAAATATTTTGTATTATTTTTCTTTACCATTTTTGGCAACAAACACGAAATTTCCAGCTGAACGAGCTGCGTAAACAGGGTCTCAATGGCGAAAGGAAAAGGATCCTGGTGGGGCAAAAGGATGCGGCATGTGGGGCGGCAGGAGCCAGACATAGACACTGATTGAATTACAGATGCGAGCTCGAGTTCCTTCATCAATACTCGCAAAGCGGATGCCATAAACACCACCTGGTGGGGCACACACACACAGAGCCGGGAGAGTTTCAGGAGCAGCGGCGGAGGTTGAGGCCATTTCCCAGCCCCCAAGTCGCATGTACTTGTGCGAAAAGTGCCCAGATACAGATACGGAGCGAAAGCATAAATTTCGCACAAAAGTTGCACCCGAAAACTGTTTACGAGCGAAGCCAGCGGCAGCCAACGAAAACTGAAAAGTAAAGTGCACAAAAGCAGAAAATATGATTTCCTTTTTGGCGACGACGACCAAAAAGATAATTTTCTAAACCCGAACGTGGAGGGCGTGGCGGATGGCGGCGGATGGCAAGGACGAGTGGGGGAGTGTTGGGAATGCGAATGGGAAGATTCTAGGCAGCCAAGTTGAGTGCAGTTTCTGCAGCCTGGTCAAAATGGAATCCAACCCGTTCCAGCTGCAGTCCCTCCACCCGGCTCGCCAAATGACAGCTGCCTCTGGCTCCTGGGTCCTTTCTAGGTGGCTTGGAAATTACAAAATGAATTTTGTTTTGTCACGGCCCAGGGGGGAGGGGGAGAATGGAATTGGAAATGTCATCAGCATGGATGAAATGCCGGAAAAGTCGAAATGGAAACTTATCAGCAAACTACGAGCAAAGGATACTTTGCAACAGCAACAGCAGTCTTTGGATTAGGCAACGGGGGACGGGAGAGGAATTGTTTCTGGCCGGGAATGGGTGTGGGGCCTCTTAACTTAAATATTCGAGATCATCACTTGGTTATTACTGGCTCGTAAATCTTACAGCTATTTCGGGTGTGAGCTGTGCAAATAAAATTAATTTCAAAGAAAAGGAAACGCTCTCGATGATTTACAGCTCTTGGCATACACTTATTAACTGCTTCAACAGCATCATTTACATGTTAACACTTAAGCGCACTCGTTGTCCACTAACAGGACCTTTTCTTTTGCCCCCTTCTCCTGGCTGCAGGTCAGAATTTATGTTTCTATTTCGGCCTGGACTCACACACACCGCAAAAGGACCCAAAGGATAGAGAGTGGTGGAACATTTAACGCATTTGCCGCACTTTTGGGCTGAAATTAAAATGAGCGTAAATTTTGCTACAATTGCACAAATGGCCAGAGGTAGCCAGAATGCTAAGCGTAAAAAACGCATATTATAATAAGGACACCGAGAGAAAATTGCATTTAATATAAAGCTCTTCTTAAAACATACATTTGGTACTTTGGTTTTGTAAATAAAAATTAAATAATGAATGCCGGTTTCCTGCTCATTAATATTTTGTATTTGATATGTGAAACAAATTCTTAAAAACTGGTTTTTCTTTAAGCACTGTATTATACTTAAATTAAGTTTTACATTTTAATCTTTTTCATACCATTCCAATTGTTTTTTAAAGTATTAAACCCGGCTCACCTTCTCATTTAAATCATCTGCTCCCCACTCACATGCTGAAGAATTTGCAGAATGAATTGTACACTCCTCCTTGCTGTTTGCCTAGCCCTAACTACTCTAACGTACTTACATAAGTGGTGGGGACAGAGAGCAACCATTTTTTGGGCTCGACCACTTGCACATGACCGCAGTCCATAAGGATGCACATTAAGGACATTTGCGGCCGGTCAACAAGGTGGATGGAGCCCGGGCCAGAGTCCAAAGCCGAACCCGAACCCGAACTCGAACCCGGACACGGGACTGACCAAAGGTGGCCACTGGCCACTGGCAAAAAATGACCTCAATTTATCTTGTAGGTTTTTGTTTTGTCTCTAGTCGTGGGGGAATGGAGAACTTGGAACTTTTGCCTTGACTTGGCCTTAAATTATGTGAGCTCTCTGCGGTTGAGCGACAACGAGTTGGCCGAAAACCTTAAAGGCCGCTCGATGAGTTCGAGTATCTGCAAGTTCCAAGGCGGATTCAATCAAAGGGGAGTAACAATAAAAAACAGGGTAGACAATGGAGCAGATTGCTCGGTAGCTGGAAATGCCAAATGCTGATGCGCGATGCAGTAGAAATTCTCATTCAGATACAGATACTGGAGCAGCAACAGCTACGGATGCAGATACAGATACAAATACAAATACAAATGTATCTATAGCCGCTGGTGTGGGCCGACGAATGCGCAAAGAGCAGAACCATTAATCATTCCGGCCAAAGGAAGACAACAGCCAACAGACATCTGACGACGACGACGTCGTCTTTGGAGCCATGGAAAAAGTCAATTTCTCATGAAAACATTTTGTATCTGCATCCACTTGATATGCATTCAAACTAAATCAGCTCCAACGTTACATATATCTATATATATATCATATATATATATTGTATTGCCCAAGTACACAAACTCCACAAATATCAGAGTCAAAACAAAGACCTCGCCGAGTGTCTTCAATCATTTAATTGTGGCCTGATTGACAGTTATGCGAAAAGTATAACAACATCCTGAATGGCTGGGTCCTTTTGCCCAGGATTAGTTTTAATTAGCCACCCGGAAAAGGGTTGAAGGGAGATGGGAGTGCTTAGTGGGATGTGGGCGGAGGGGAGATCAGACCGCAGGGATCCCAAGCCACCACATCGGTGGCCAGACAAACATTTCCGCTTTCTTTTCACTTTGCCCAACTTTACTTTAATGCCATTACCAACCACCGACCGAGGCTGCCACAGTCGAAAGATAAATTAGAGAAATATATTTAATGACTTTTCATGACCAGCAAATGTCAACAATACGAAACATTTACACAAACAGGGAAAACAAATTCAACAAAACTAAACCCTCAGGATTGTTTATCAGGATAGGAGGCGAGTGGAGAGAGCGCCGTGTTTGGCCCTGCTGGAGGTGTGAAAATTTTTGATTAATGTTTCAATATTTTAGGGAATATATTTCTGTCCAAGATGAGAAAAGATAGCGCAAAGATCAGACAATTTTTAGTTTTTCAAGTTGAGTTCACTGGCTAATAGAAATATGAGTAGTATTTTGTATAATTTTGAATAATAGTTTCTTAATTGAACTAAAGATAAAAGTGAGTTTAGTAATAATTCCTAACCCCAATAAATAGTTTTAGCTTTGAAATTAACTTGGAGAACATATAGTTCTTAAATATGTATGTTTGCTCTAATTCAAATAATTTTATAATAATATTTTGAACAGTAGAAATAAAATATTAACAATTGTGAATCTTTGTCAGTTCGTCAAAAAGCAAATGGAAATAAATTCAATAAATAACAGAACTGGGAAAAGCATTCAATTTAAATTTATATATATATATTGTTTTTGCTGACACATATACGGACGTTTTGTATTATTTTCCTAACTCTTATCAAAATGTCATTAGGCAGAAAAGGCAAGCAAAAGAAAATTGGAATTGAAAACAATGAAGAAAATTTCCAGGCTCTTTAAAAATGTTTCATGCGCTTGTTTTGTTATTTTCCCCGAATGATATATACAGATTTTCTCTCGCAATTTATATTTTTCCAAATTGAATGACATAGATGAAAGATGGCACCCTGGGAAATGCAGGGGGGAGAGAGTAAGTTAAATACTTTAAAGCGGTTCAAATTGAAAAACTTTCAACATGGCCCAGCGGTTTTGTAAATATTTACGATATTTGTTTTATATACACAGGCATTGTGTGGTCTTTGAATATAAAAGTTAGACAGAGAGAGCGTCAGAGTGGAAAAAATGAAAAGATATTTCTCGGTTGCCATGGAAAAATGAAAGCTGTTTGGCTCAAACTTTTTCCTTTTCCCAACGCTTAAGCCAGGTTACCACACCCCCAGCACACACACACACTCTCTCCCATTCTCTCTTCCCAGTGCTCCAGATCCCC